ATTCTATATCCAGGACCATAATTCCTTGCTGATTACCTTTCAGTAGATTCCATGGTGACTCCCGAGTAGAGGGACAATTTAATGAGGTCGTTAATATTTCCATAAAACCAGCAATCTGATAAGTTCTCTTTTGGTAGGCACTTTTGCAGAACTAGCATAAGTGACTGTTCCACATGAAGCATTATCTTTTCTTGTACAACATTGAAAGCTTACATGCTGCTTGACAAATTTGAATTTTAAAAAGTAAGAATGATTGGCACTTGGTAACTTACACAGAAATATAAAGTGGTACAAGAAAATTGCCCATTTCTTTTAGATTTACATTTTATGTATTTTTTTTCTTTTAAGAAGTGATAAGACATGTAATTTCCATCAACTTCAACCAGCTATGTATGAAAGAGGCTACAAGTTCAGCTCTGTAGAGGAGAAGCAAGTCGTGGGGAGAGCTGACATAACCACAAAAAAGCAGACAGCCTTCCCAGGTTCTAGAGATGGTTATTTGCAGGCAAAGATGAAAATCCTAAGACTGAGGTACTACATGTCTTGAAAGCAATTCTGCTTGCTCTTGCTTCCCGATCCACCAGCCCCAGGATGTCAGTTATCAAATGTCTTCCCAGGTCCATTAAATGCAAGGAGAAAAAGGAAGCAGATAGAGAGGTATAACTAGAGTTTACTGATGAAGACTTCTCTTTATGTGTTGGGTGCTCCAAAATTTTTGGTGTAAAGCAATTATTGTCTCTTCCTGATTTGGTCAACTAACATTTACTGACATACAATAGCAAAGCACCCGGCTCTGTACATCTGCCAAGTTAACATTTCCTCATTGAGCTTCATTATAAATTTGAAGATGTGTGGCAATAAAGATAATTGGGCCATCAACTTATAACAGAAATCTTGTTTAGGAATCTTGAATTTTAAAAAAATTTTTTTAAAAAGATTTTATTTATTTGAGAGAGAGAAAGAGAGCAGGGGGAGGAAGAGAAGGGGAGGGAGAGGGAGTGTGAAAGAATCTCAAACAGACCCCGTGCTCAGCGTGGAGCCCGATGCGGGGCTTGATCCCATGACCCCTGAGATAATGACCTGAGACAAAACCAAGAGTCGGATGCTCAACCAACTGAGCCACCTGGGTGCCCCAAGAATCTTGAATTTTTTTTGATATTAATATTCTGACAACAGATGAATGGATAAAGAAGATGTAGTATATATATATACACACACACACACACACACACACACACACTGGAATATTATGCAGCCATCAACAAAAAGAAATCTTGCCATTTGCAACGATGTGGATGGAACTAGAGGGTATTAGGCTAAGCAAAATAAGTCCATCAGAGAAAGACAAGTATCATGTGATCTCACTGATATGAGGAATTTGAGAAACAAGACAGAGGATCGTAGGGGAAGGGAGGGAAAAATGAAACAAGACGAAACCAGAGAGGGAGACAAACCGTAAGAGACTCTTAATCTCAGGAAACAAACTGAGGGTTGCTGGAGCGGAGGGGGGTGGGAGGGATGGGGTGGCTGGGTGATGGACACTGGGGAGGGTATGTGCTATGGTGAGCGCTGTGAATTGTGTAAGGCTGATGAATCACAGACCTGTACCCTTGAAACAAATAATACATTATGTTAATTAAAAAAAGAAAAAAATAATATTCTGATATATCAATCTGTGGTCTGTATGTCTTCCATTGTGAACAACTGACCTCATGTTCTAACATACATATAAAAATATATATATATCCAACAACACATATGTAATTTCTTTCCTAGAATTTTCATTGACTTCTTTTCTGGTTAGCAGATATTCTAGTCATCCCCGTACTTAAGGTTTGAACAGTTCTTTCTAGTTTGGACTGCTTCATGGAAATATAAACAATTATTCCTCTGGAAAACAGAAACCGTGGTACTTTGCTTCTAAGTATGGTTGTGGAGCTATGAAAAGCAATTTTTGACCCTGATGACTACTGGATTAAGAACCAACATATTCCAACACGAGACTTTTCACAACATTTATTGTGTTCACTGAGCCAGCAATGAAGGTTCATTTATTCAGCATTTGTTTGGCAGGGGGGGTAAGCCCTGTGAAGGTAAGGGCTGGCTTATCTTGTTCAATGTTGGTATTCGCAGCACTGAGCACATAGAGAATTAACAAAAAAAGATTGAATGTTACTGATTTGGCAGATGAGGAGACAAACACCCCAAGAATGTGAGTCCCTTCTGAAGGTCCTTTGGGTAGTAAGAAATGGCACTAGAATTCAAACTCTGGTTCGAGTCCAAGTGTGCCCTTCTCCCATGCCAACCCCTGATGCACACACCGGTTGCTTTCCAGACTCCTTGCCTGTCTCCGGGCTGCAAGTCACACCGTTTTCTGGGCAAGAGGTGGTGGGGGAAGTGGTAAGTGGTCTCTTGGTAGAGCAGCCATCCATGAATGCTATCAAAGCCCCATTTGAGGGAGCCCCCAAAGAATCTCACCTTGACGTTGATTTTTTTTATTGGGATCCTCCACTTTTGAGGTCCTGAAATATATCCCAGGTTATGCTACAGATCAGGCATAGATAACCCACAGTCTCATAAGCAGAGAAGCCAAGCCCAGCCTGGGACAATGGTCCTTACAAAAGTCTGACTGTGTTTACGCTTAGGTGAAGCCCCCTCTTCTTGCTCTTGATTTGGCTGAAAACCTAGTGAGCCTCTGCATCTGTGGTAGTTGGAGAAAGAGCGTCAATTATAAGCCAAAATACAAGGTATTAGCAAGAGAGATTTAACACACTCACACGTGGAGTTACAAGGTGTTAATGAGCAAGATAAACCAAGGAATGCATTTTTCTTCCTCTTTGGCTGCCTGGGTTGGCTGTGGGTGTCGAATAATTGAACCCTCAAGTTCTGAGACTATGAATCAGGAGGGTTTCCTGTATTATGAATGATGTCATCTTGTAAGATGAGAGACTTGCAGTGAAACACAGGAACATTCAGGGTAATGTGTTTGCAGCAAGCAGGATCCTGAATTTATTGCAGAGGGGAGCGCGTGAGCTGACCAAAATGGAGAATGATGAGAAGTAACTAAATTATGTATGACAGTCTTTACAGAGCAGAGGAAGGAAGAAAGCTTAATGATGTTGTGGTTGAAGGACCAGCAGCAATTGGTGATGTATTGGCTGGAGATTGGTAAGAAGAGAAATGGATCTATGAAGACTCAAAGGCTATAGTTGAGTGTGACAAAGACCAAGCAGTGGATTTGGGAGGGGGAAGGGAACCAAGAGCTCAGTATATAATACATTTTAGCGGCAACCAGCCAGCCAAGTAAAGTTAACTTGACATTAAAAATCATTATCTTAATCTGTGTAGCTCTTTCAAGCCTGACTCTTATCAAAGCCAAAAAAAAAAAAAAAAAAAAACTATAGTTAATGATGAAGTGTTTTTCTCTTTGCTTTCCCGGCATCCACGAAACCCCATATATAATTTAATTATTGAATCTACAGGCTGGACCGTGGAGATGAAGAATGATGTGTCCGCGGTAGTGAGAAATTAGATAGAACCAACTGTTTACTCTCATCATTCTTCCCCCGTTAGGCTAAATTAATATAGTTAACAAGCTTTTGTTTGGATTAGTGGCTCAGATCTGGGATGTGCTGATCAGAACTCATGATTCTTACAGTAGCTATCATTTGTGGGGTGCTGATGGTATCCTCAAGCTCTATGTGTAACACAGAACAGGTTGTCATTCTCTGCGCAGGAACCCCTGTTCTGCCAGGATGAGGGGCTACAGTTTGAACAGAATAATGAAGTTCAAGAAAATCTGATTTACTTCCTTGGGGCTTATGGCTTCAGAAATCTCCCTGATGGCCTTTCCTATTGACCCGTGTCCCCTTTCTCTGATTCTTTCTTTTCTTTCTTTCTTTCTTTCCTTCCTTCCTTCCTTCCTTCCTTCCTTCCTTCCTTCCTTCCTTTCTTGCTTGCTTGCTTACTTGCTTGCTTGGTTTCTTTCATCAATTGTAACACAGGGTGCTTATTTAGACCTGACCAATGCATGGGGGGAAGCCCGAGAGGTGTGTACACCGCGGTGGGGATGGCAAGGGGTAGCAGGCTTCAGCACACAGCTCGGGCCCTTCCACATCGTTTGAGTGGAAACTAAGCGGGCCATGCAAAGCGCAAATGCAAATGTAACTTCCATGCAAAGCGCAAATGCAAATGTAACTTCGAGACATTTGTGCCTCGAGGCATGGCCTCCCGCCCTACCCCTCCTGCAGGAAACTGTGAAGCTCCACGCGTGCACATTCCCCACGACACTGTCACACCGCAGGCCCAGCCCAGAGACCAAAACCAGGTCTCCTTACTTCTACCGTTTTCAGTTTCATGGCACTAGACTCCTTTGGGTCGTCTTTTATTTACAAATAATAGAGATTTACAGCAAGAGCTTTAGGTGGATGGTAGATGGGGGGGCGGTGTGAATGGTGGTAAAAACAAACTCACCACCACCAACGAAAACCACCCAACCCTCAGACTCAGATATCTGAAAAACGCAACGATTATCAAGTCAGAGCCCCGGGAGCAGCCGCGAGCAGTTCCCCGTGGGGCCCAGGCTGGGGACCACGAACGCGGGCAGAGGCTCGGGGAGCCCGGGGCGCAGGGCCGCGGGACCACCTCCGCGGCGGGGCGCTTCCGCCGGTCCCAGCCCAGGGGCCTCGGGGGCGGCTTCAAGGGTATCCAGGAGCCGGCGCCGGGTCAGAGTCAAATCCCAAACCACCCCCCTCAACAAAAGGAGGCAGCCAGCCCCCGGGAGGAGTCTTTTGGGCGCTGGTCCTGAAGGTCGCCGGCCAGATCGCGGGCCGAGCGGGTTGTGTGTCCGGGACGAGGAAGCCGAGGCGACCTCGCCCAGGAGTTTCCCGCCCGGTGCGCGCCCGCCGCGGCCCCCCCCACCCCTCCTCCCCCCCGAGCGCGTGGCCGCCCGGCCGCTGTCACCTTCCGGCCCCGCGGCGGCCCCGCCTCTTCTCCCGACTTCCTTTCCCTGGGCGCGCGGCGGCGGGGCGGCGGCGGCGGCGGCGGCGGCGGTGGCGGCCTGCGATCGCGGACCCGGAGCCGAGGACCAGCCGGGGCCAGCCCTGCGGTGCGGGTACGCGGCCTGCGCGCCCCGCGGCGCTGCCCGAGCGCTGGGCGCGGGGCTCGCGGCGGGGGCTCCGGGCGGGGAAGCCCGAGGTTGCCCGCTCTCCCCCCCCACCCGACCCCCGCCCCGGGAAACCTCCTGCCGGGCCAAAGAGTGCGGGCTAGGAGGGCCCGATCACTTGAGACTTGCTCCCTCCAGGAAGCCGAGGGAGGGTGGGACTGGGAGGCTGGGAGTGGCAGGCTCCTCCTGCGCCCACGTGGGGGCTCGGGGTGCCGGCTTTCGCCGGGGTCGGACGCCGGAAGGGGGTGGTGGGCGGAGGAGCGCGGGTTCTGTCTGGGGAGGTTACCAGATGTGTCCCCCCTGGAGTAGCGTCCCTCCATTTGCTGCCGCTGGGTTTCGGGGCTCCCCTGAGCGTTAAAGCAGACGTGGGAGTAATACCTCCCTTTCCCTCTCTTCTTCCCTTCCCACCTCCTGTTTAGTGGGCACGTAACTGGCACCGTACAGCGATCATGGATGCTAACCGTTGAGCCGGTGGTAAACCCAGTGCAGTTAAGAGGGCTTACAGGCTTCTCAGAATTTGGGCCACAGAATCAGTGGATAATCATGGGTCCCAGTAGCGACTTTTTCCCTGCATCCCAGTTTGAGGCACGGGCACGCTGTCCCGCTTAAGCCAAGGACTGGAGCATGAAGCCCAAGTGGAGGGAAATAAACACCTGCCTTCCACCCAGATGCTCAGGAATGCTCAGTGATACCCACTCAGTTCTTGTGTTGCCCTACTCCCTTGTGCTGTTTATTTTTCCTTGAAAGGACCCCACCCCTTACTGGAAGTTTCAGGGGCTCCCCCTGTTGTAGATCAGCTTGTGCATGCCAGTGAGTGAGTGAGTAGAGCCCACGTTACTAAAACTTAGCCACAGTCATAGCACTTGACACTTTTGCTTGTTTCTTCTCACTTGATAACTACTGTTTTCCTCTGGGGAAGCTAAGGGGACAGAAAAGGGACAGATTCTGTGGTTAATATCAGAGCTGGGACAGCTCCAGTGGAATCTGACTGGCATGGATAATAATCCTATGTGATTTAGGGGAGTTTCTGTAAGATGGGATGTTACTATCTTTGCTAGGAATGAGGCTTGAGTGAGATGCTGCATATAACCCTTCACAGTGTCTGAAAGATGGTAGATGATCAATAAATGTTCTCCTTTCTCCCTCCCTCTCTCTTGTGCTGGCTCTATTTCCTAAGGGAGGGAGGTGAGGGATGAGAACAGTTTGTGGAGCAAGCATTTGTAGTAGGTTGAAAAAAATCCTATGAGAAAGCAGTACATAGGTGTAAAATTTGGGAATGCAAAACTCTACGTGCCAAATCCAAACTTTTGAAATAGTAACATAATTTTTTTCTCAAGGCCAGACACGATCTGAGGTCCCATGATCTGTGATTTCTGACGGATAAGTGTAATGGAAATTGACTTTGCAGATCCAAAGTTGACATGTGGTTGCATTGGCCTGGCAAGCAGGTGTACCAAAATGCTTTTCTCAACCACTGTTTTCCTTCTAGACCCAGCATGAATGAAGTTCCCTGCAATAAACGTGATGACTATTTGGAATGGCCTGAGTATTTCATGGCTGTGGCCTTCTTATCAGCACAGAGAAGCAAAGATCCAAATTCACAGGTAAGTGAGTTTCCTAAGAGAGTGTTTGGACACTCACAGATACAGGGATAAGCTGGAAATGAACAAATTACAGCAGGAAGCGGATGCTTGGCAACTTAAAGGCAGAGTAAATCTGCCTTTTGTGCTGCATCCCTAGGTGCTTACATTTTTCAGCCACCGTTCAAGGCTTCTTGGACCTCCTCGGGGGCTAGGGGGCCTGCTTTCTTTGGCTTGTGGGACCTGCCGCAGAAAGCCAGCGAGGAGATAGAGAGCTCTTCACACATCCCTGCTCGCTTTGGAGCTCTGCAAGCTTCTGGTTTCATGTCTGCCTGTCCAGGGGCAGACCAGCCTTGCCAGGTCACCAAGCCACGTTTCCTGTAGGTCGGAGCGTGCATCGTGAATGCAGAAAACAAGATTGTCGGCATCGGGTATAACGGGATGCCAAACGGGTGCAGTGATGACCTGTTGCCTTGGAGCAGGACGGCGGAGAGCAAGCTGGATACCAAATACCCTTACGGTAGGGCCTGGTCTATGTTTCCTTCTGCTTTAGGGGCCTAGCCTTGGTGGTGCTTAAGTCAGATAGCTGGTCAGAAAGTATCGTCTCTTTTTAGTCATCAACAGCTGGACAAAAGAAAAATCCTATTGGACTGCCTCAATTTCCTGTCCCCAACCCTTAGTGTTTCTGGGAGAGTCCGTGAATGGAAAGCATGTTAGTCGTCACACAGCCTGGCCCTGAGCTGCCTGTGGAGGGCCTGCCAGGCTCTACAACCCCAGAGCATGGATGGCGGACTTCTCTGCAGAGGGCCACAGCCCCTGGTGGGGGTAGTGGAGGATGTGAACGGGGGCTCCGCGGGTTGTTTCTTGGCTACCTGGAGGCAAAGTCAGCTAACCAAGGACTGGCCAGGGCTTAGCTCTGATGAGAAGCAGGGTTCATTCAGCCCCTCTGCCTGCAGAGGAAGTCTCAAGCTCATCTCTGAGAAGTAGGAAATGACTGTGGGCTGTGATGTGGGAAACAAAGGCAGAAGAATTATTATTAAATGTCCTCACTACTTACAGCCCACTGACAAGTCCTTGAAACAGGCAAGAGTGACCTTCCTCCAGGGACTCGGCTGCCTCCATGTTAATACTTTGCTAAGGGCAAAAGGCAATCCTAGCCTGACCACCCCCCTCCCCACCCCCCAGGATCCTGTAAGTCTACTTTAACGTATAAGAATTCCTTTGGAAACTTCCTTTGTCTCTAAACCCCCCAAGATACATGTTGGCAATCATCCCCCAAGCATATGACCCTCCGATATACATCTGAAGGGTCTCATGACTAGGGTTTTATTAGATGGTAATAAATGACCTTTTCTCAACAATCGCTAGCCCCCCTCAAGGTCCTGGAAACCTTGCTTCCAAAATTCCTTAGAGACCGATGCTATCCCTAACCCCTTCCCAACTTGAAAACATATAACGGGCCGTTCCTCCTGACCCCAGTACAGCTCCTTCTGCCCACGGGTTCTGTCCCCGGGCTTTAATAAAACCACCTCTTTGCACCAAAGACATCTTAAGAATTCTTTCTTGGCCGCCGGCTTCGAACCCTAACGTCTTTCCTACGTCAATGTGGACGTCAGAGAATGGATGGTTCGGTGTCTTCTTCCTGTTCTGGGGGCTCTGTATTCCCAGGGCGGCCGGTAGTCAGACCACAAGCCAGATGTGTGGAACCAAAAACCTTTGGCCTGGCCAGCTCTGGTTTTCATGTTTAAATTAGGCAAGGGTGCTTTTTATAATTTGTTGAACATCTGAGCCCCAAGAAGAATCACTTCAGAGATGGGGAGGGACGAGCCATAGCCTCGCTTTAACTTTAATTCCCTGGAGAAGATGCAGCCGATGCCCTAAGGCAAATGGGGCTACGTACACTCGTTGCTGGTTTTTCATAACGTGAGGGCCTGTGTTTCTGTCTGCAAATGAACCGACCACCTCTGTTGGGAGTACAGCAGATGGAGGCCATCCAAATGGGAAAGATTGGGCCTTTAGGAAACGCGAGTCAAGGAGTGACGTAAGACCTTTCTCCTTTGTTGACTCTTCCACAGTAGGCTGGCCTCTGGGGTTTTCTATAGAATTCCAAGTCTACACTTAGTGGAATTTATATTTTTTATATATTTTTACTGATGCTCCTGGACCTTAATCATGTTAAATAAGCCCCTTGAGTTTCTTTTTAAATTGCTTCAGGGCAACCGCTCTGTTTTCCAAAGAAAAAGAATGCTCCTGGAGGTGGGGAAGGCACTGAGGAATGCGGGCAGGGTGGGGGTGCGGGGCTGCAAAGCACTCGGGGTTTTCCAGGAATAAAACGTAGTTCAGTGATTAGGGGGATTTAATTGTCAGTCCTTTTAACTCCATCCCTGGCAGGGGAAAGAAGAAGCGGGTCCCAGACGGGAGAAGGTAGAACCATTTAGCCTTAGCATTCCTTGTAGCTGAGTGGAGCTCCTGAAATGAATAACATGCTAACGTATTTTAGAAGCTTTTTGTCATCCTGATTGTGGTTCTGGTAGCTTTCCATGATAAGGAAGAAGGGAAAGGATCCGTTGTTCGTAGGTACGTGGGGAAGGTAATTTTTCACGGGTCAACGTCCCATGTAGAAACGGCAAGAGTGAGAAGGTCGATGTGTTTCAGGTCTACCCTGAGATGCCGGACAACCACGGTGTTATTTCACCCAGTCCACACGGCGGAGCCTTGGGCTTCCTGCTGAATGGAGGAGTTTGTAGGTGTCAGTCTTGTAAAAAGTGGAGGCTTCTTGTAAAACGATGCCAGTGGTCGGACCGTCGTAGAAGGGTCCTCCTTGGTTCCTTAGCAGCTCTCCAGAAGGGACCTATCCCTTCTTCGGTCACTGAGCCCCAGGCAGATCGGGGCAGTGACCTAGAGGCCAAAGGCTTTGCCACCCACTGGCAACCCGTGACTTCGCTGTGCTCCAAAACCTGTCCAGTAGCTTTGCCCAACTTTGAGGCAGTACCTTACAGAGCTCCTTTCCAAAAGGAATTAAAAAGAAAACCAAAACCCATGTAGGCATTTGTCCAACTTCACTGGTTTTTTTTTTTAATTGAGTAGTTGCTGAGTTTCAGGACACTGGTTGTCTGTGCATTATTTTGTACTCTCCATACGCTACCTCTAGGTTTTCAGAGCTCTTTGCCCTTGCTTATCAATTATTCATTTTACATGTGGCTATGCTAGAATGTAGACAGTTTTCTTTCACAAGAGTAGACTTGTACTTTGATGTACCATAAAAGTCGTAGACGGTATTAAATGCTTTTTAAAAGGTGTTTAGTGTTAGTACCATCATAATACATGTAAAGGTGGGCTTTAAGTCTAAATAATGATGACTAGCTACAGACTGTACACTCAGTCTTGTTTTATCAAGGGATTTTGGGCCACAGAGAAATCCATGTTTGGATCTCCTTGGAGGTGATAGAAATGTTTGGTGATAATTGGCCAAAATGCAAGTTTGTTTTTTTTTTTACTTACATTTTAAGATTAAATTAATTTGAAAAATCAGCGATCATGTCTGGGATTGGGTAGGCTTAATTTGAACCCTTTCTTTCCTCACCAACATTATTGGCGGCCAAGCTGCTGAGGAAGGATAGAAGATGCGCTAATCCCTATAAAGGAGCATTAGGGATCATCCAGAGTTCTAGACCAGCAATTTCTTTGTTCTTTTGAATATATGAGGATCCTCTTTCAAATGTCAACAACACTTCCAGGACCCCTATATAATGCTGGTTAAACTCTCCCTATCTTTCTTTGAGGTATAATTGACATGTAACGTTATATTAGATTTCAGGTGTACAATATAATGCCTTGTTATTTGTATACATGGCAGAATGATTGCCATAAGAAGTCCAGTCAGTGTCTGTCACCTTACATCATTACACAACGTTGTGTGTGCAATGAGAACTTTGAAGATCTGCTTTCCTAGCAGCCTTCAAATATGCAATATGGTGTTCTTCACTGCAATCACCATGCTGTATGTCACATTCCCCAGGACTTACTGATTCTATACCTGGAAGTTTGACCCCCTTCACTCATTTCATCCACTCCTACCCACTATCTCTGGCAACCGCCAATCTGTATGCTGCATCAGTGAACTTTTTTTTTTTAAGTTTCCATACATAAGTGAGATCATTAGCTTTTTTTTTTTTTTTTTTTTTGAGAGAGAGAACCTAAAGCAGGCTCCATAGCCAGCCCAGAGCCCCATGTGAGGCTTGATCTCATGACCCTGCGATCATGACCTAAGATGAAATCAAGAGTCTGAGGCCTCAACGACTGAGCCACCCGGGTGCCCCTGTTAGCATCTTTTAAGTAACAAAATCCATGGATGACAAAAGCAACTTGATACCAGTAACGCTTTGCATTACTCTGAGCTTTATTAAACGGCACTTGTGTGCGTTTAGAGAAAGGGTATGATGTTCCTGCATGCTTGGATCCCTTGCAGAACTGTAGTAGTGCCTCGGAGTCCTGTGTCCACAGGGTCTGAGCCTGCCCGTTTCTCTTATGGATGGGAAAAGAAAGGCCCAGAAACATTAAGTATCCTTTGTAATGCCACGTAGGTAGGGAGACGTCTCCTAACTCTGAGGTCAGTGCCCTCCACTACCCAGCTGCCTCTCCCATGGGGCCAGGGAATTCAGCTTTGCGGAAAGATTGCTTGGGTCGTAGCACAGTGGACCACCTGCTCTCTCCTTTGCACCGTGCCCTTGAGCACGCAGAGGCTTAGGCAAAGTAACACCCTGGAGGTCAGGGGCTCGCATGGTGGTGCCCTCGCCTAGCATGAGGCAGAATGTCCAGGGCTTGCTTTAACGCTTCTCCAAAGCGGAGCTTGGGAGCCGTGTAAGTTTGGGTTTACCAACAACATATACAACTTAATTTTCCTTATTAATTCTGTAAATTTAGAGTCATTAGTCTTGATTGACACTTTGTGGAAAGGAGAGAAGCGCAGAATACTTGTCACATAATAGGAAGATGGAGCTTTTTCTGGGTTGTGTCTCTGGAGAGGCATTTTTAAAGGGTGTTTTTGTTCTTCCAACCTTAGGATCAAAACTTCATGAAACTATTTGATTATAATGTAGTATTAATATGGAAAATGAAAATTCCCCCTGCCACAGAAACTGCTTTTTATCTCATTCTTTTCCTAAAAAATCCAAAAGATAGTATGATGTCAGTAACATTAAGTGGCAGGAAGAAGTCAGCGTTAAAAGTGACACCTTTTCACATGAGTGACAATTAAAAAACCGGGAAGCAGCAGATTGATCTAATTTAACCATATGAAAAAGCTTTGGAAGACTTTTATTTTTAGGCGGGGGTGGTTGCTAACCCTGGGATGAAGTATTCAGCTGACATATTTAGTTCCTTTCTCTTTGTGAAGCTCATTAGAGTGAAGCACATTTAATCAAAATACCAATTTTATAAAATGGAGGTAAAAATACTCGTGGTAATTCAGATATCACACTTTCCTTGGGTTTCATAACGAATTTTGATGACATAGTTTAC